ATATTATAATATGTTATATGTTTTAAGGAGTAATATTTCTATATTTTGAGAAATATCTGTAAGAATAAAAGAATCAAGTACAGCTAAAGTTGTTATCTGTGTCAAGTGATCTGTATATGTCAGAATTTTAACAGTATAATTACTTTGTAGTGAAATGAACATGTTTGTAAATTACAGTTGTTATCATTATTTCTGGAGCATCTTATAAAAAATTAACCAAATGCTAATTTGATAAATTATTGAGTTTGACATTATTGATGTAATGTTTATTATTTACAAAGATAGTCTAATGTCTGGTACATATGAAGATGCTAATTAATTTATATGATTTTATAATAATTTATTAAGTAATTAATAGTGATTTTAATTTATTTATTTTTATTGTTTATAAATTTTTAACAAATACTTTTAAAATCAGCATTTGATTTTTTACACTTATTGATCAATTTTTAAATATTATAAAATTATATAAATTTAAAATTTATTTTTAAAAAAATATTAATTTTTTTATATAAAATTTATTATTTTAAAATAAACTTAATTTAAATTTATTAATTTTAATTATTTTTATTATTTTATATAATATAATCTATATTTAGTAATATAATATTCATATATTCATGTATAATAGAATTTATCTAAAGTAATTGATAAGAATTATTGTATACAATACATAATATACAGTATGTATAGTATATTATATAGTGTATATTATATAATAATACTATATGTAACATATTATTATCTAAATTTATATTGGTATAAAAAAACAAAAAAAATTGAATAAATTGTATAATATATGAAAAACCAAGCAAAAATGTTCATAGTAATTATGATTATAAAAAATTTCTAATTACTTAATTTTATACATCTATTAATTACTTACAATAATTAATATACAATTTTTATTTATTTGACTTTTTTAAAAAATAATTACTTTAATTAGTTAGTCTTGTAAATAAGAAATTAAAATACTAATTGAAATAATAATTTTTAAAATTATTAGAAGAAAAAATAAATATTTATAACAAGTTATATATTATAGATTACAATATTTAACTAGTAACTATTATAAGTTGTTGTCTAAAGTACTTCTATTATTTTTAATCTTTAAATAAAAAATTATAAATAAACATATACAATTAATAGTAATTATTTAGTTATTGTATTATAAATATAATTTTTACTAATAGATCTATTTAAAAAAATAAACATTTTCTTTTATTTATTCTGTAAATATATTACAGTATTTATTAATAAAAATAATTTAGATATTTATAATACATTCATTATCTTGTATATATTGATAAATTAGATATATATTTTTTAATAAAATAAAATCTATTTACAATAATATATTATTATAAAAAAGTTATTTTTATATAAACATAAATATAAAAGTATAAGAAAAAAATAAAAAATAATAAAAAAAATAATAAAAAAATAAAAGTATATCTTTTTGTATTGTTTTAATTAATATAAATTTGATATAATTATATTATTTATATAATCAGTATTAATAAATTTTGTCTAAATAAAAAAGATTAATACTAATTGATTGAAATAAAATTTAACAATATTATCCAAACTATTTAGAATATTTTAAATTATATAATAAATAATATTATGTGAAATATTTATTTTCTTATTATTATTATTAAAATTATGTAATACTATTTATTATGATAATAATATTTACTAATATAATTAATTTAGTGATTCAATTCTTTAAAATAAAAAATGATTATTAAAAACATAAGATCTAATAAATACTTTATTCTAAAATACTGAATATATTATATTCTAAAATATTGTATATGTTAATTACTGTAATCAAATTTTTATTAACAATAAATAAAAAAGAATAAAAATTGAAATAAAATTATAAAGTTTTTTAGATTTTATTTTTAATACAATACCAGAAAATGGATATGGGTCTCATAGCTTAATGGTTAAGCTCCCATACCACCACAGTCAAGGTCAATGATTTAAGTTTAGCTGGAGACAAAATTGAAAGATTTTAGTTACTGTAACCTATAAAAAGCCTATAATTGAACATGAAATCCTGTGATCAAGTCCAAATACAGTACATGATGATTAGAAGCACCTCTGACATTGTAGAACATCTAAGAATAAAAGGTAATCATCTGTATAAAGAAGTTGTAACCTGTTCTGTATGTTAAAAGTTCCAAACCAGAACTTTGGTTGCACCTATATAGAAACCTATAGTGAAATAAATAGAACATACCAACATAAATACTGTACTAATCATGGTTGAGATACCTAAATTGGAAGTTGAAATCTTTAGAACTTTATGTCAGTAATAGAGATGTCAGTTTATAACTGGAAGAAAATGTGTATCTATTCCTAAAATAAAGTTCTATCTATATTATAAAAAGGAGTACTTAAGAGGCAGGTTAGATGTACAATCTGTTGGACATGATGTTAAGACCAAGAAGGGTTACAAACCAGCAGTAGTAGCAGAAACCTGGCTTGAGATATATACTACTAGTACCTGAATTAGGAAGTTGATAGTAATAGCAAGAACTTGGCTTGAGATACATACTAGAGAAACACCCTTTGGACAAACCAAAGATGGTAGCTCAAAAGGAACAAATAACCTGATGAACCAATTTGGAAGTTGTTAAATAGGTTATGAGACATGGAAGGAATATGCAGGTTATCTAATATAATTAGTAATGAAACAAAAACCCAGGTTAGGTATGAATGGAACACAATACAGAACTTTGGTAGGTTTAGGTCATAGATAAATATGTCTGAGTCCTATGTCTAAATAAATATATAGTGATAGATAATGTATAAAATAGATTTGTACTAGCTATGACAAATATACTAATAAAGACTAGAGGGCATAACCTCATCTTAATACCAAAAAAAAAAAAACAATACCAAAAGATTATAATTCTAATTATTTATTTAAATCCAAGAAGCAGCAACAAAAAATTATTGAAGAAAACAAATAGTAACAAATGAATTAGTAATATTAATAAAAAACTTAGTGCTATTGTATAAATTGAAAGATTATAATCATTTTAAAAAGCAATAGAATATTTCAATAATACTTTTGGTTATAATAAATATTACGTTTATTGAGCTATTTGCAATTGATAAAGTGATTAATTTATTACCTATTGTTATTACTTTGTTAGTCTAAATTATTTTGTTTGTATTTATTTTTTGTTAAGTTATATGAATTTTTAGTGTTCGATATATTTGTCACGTGATGTTCGAAACTTTTGTCATCAATGTAATGTTTATTATTTACGAAGATACAGTAGTCTGGTGAGTACGAAGGTGCTAATCGATTTATAAATTAAAACTCACGTGAAACTACAAGGCTTTAAATGGTCTCTACCTTCACGTTCCATTTCTAATCGTAACTCATACAACTATCAGTTAGGCTTTCTTCTAATAAGGTCTTAAGATATTTTATATCATTAGGTTTAACAGACGTGATTTTTTACAAGCGGCGAAAGTCATTCAACGCATCCATATTGATTAATAATGGTCACCGCAAATCGATTAGCAACTACGTACGTACCAGGTAATAAACGGTACATTGATCATGCCGAAATCAATAACTTATCGAATCGACAGAATAATTACTCGGTTAATTTTTCACAAGGTGTCCCAGGAATAATGATAACAGCTGTAAGTGCCGGTGAAATGAACATGACGGACATGTCGGTAAAGCGCTGTCTACGAAATGAGTGTCAGTGAAACAAGCGGGACTGGTTCTAAATATGTTAGACAAGTGTTCAAACGAAAATTTAATGATATTTAACGTGTCAACATTTATCATGCTAACTTATCTGTAGAACAAGCATCATGTAATGTATATATATAACTAATATATAACTAATATATAGTGTGGAAAAATTTTTATAAGTTTCTGTAGTGTAATTTTTGTTATGTGAATGCGCGAAAACCTTTATAATGCGGGTGCAATAATCATATGCCAGTGCTCTAGTTAATGTAGAAGTTACGTATGTACGTACGTAATCTATTATACCGAAATAATAACCGGATCGACCGAAAATTCTTACGGCAAATTTTCTATCAGGTATTATGAAAACAGCTGTAATCAGGAAATCATATTTTAGGTTTTCAATTTGTAATTCCATAATTCAGCTAGTAAAACCATTTATTTTGCGCAGTTTTGAAAAAATCTCTATTCATAAACTTTCTACGTAGAAATGATTTCATAAAAATATACGCCTATCCGGAAAGTTGGAATTTTATGTCCGCACAAATGAACAATAAAGACGGACTTTTAATTACCCACGACAATTGTTTTAGTGATAAATATTACTATATTAGGCGATTTTTACATGAACTTTAGCATTCAAGGTTAGATCCAGGTTAATCTACATAAAAGAAAGTGGCCTTCGTATGCCCGTACATCTTATATTGGAAATGGGTCGACAACGCATCCATGTACATACGTACATTTCAACTAAAATAAGATCGTTTGACATGAATGCGAATGTTTAAGCAAAAAAAAACTAATAAATATGCACATACGCAGTTACAATGCATATCGACAAAATTTTCGTTACGTTACGCGACACATAAGATCATTACTATTTTGTATCACAAAGGAAAATACAAACAGTATCAGAAAAGGAAAAATGAATGGATTAAAATTTTCTTAAATATGGCCTTTTCGTAACGCACAAGTAAATTTAAAGTTATTCCTGAAAATTTTATAAAAATTCGAATATCTAACAATTAATCATATCTCAATTTATTAATATGTCTTCTGAAATGCCAAGTTTTGGTTCAGGTGTTGTCAATATAGGGATCACAATTGGTGGATCATTAGCATCTCTCAATCCCTTAATTGGCACGATTTCTGAAATTCTTAATGCAATATTTCAAATCAACGAAAAAGCTCAATATAATAAAAGAATTTCAAGTTCTATTCTAGCTCGTTTATTATCTGTAGAAGCGGCCATCAAATACTTATTAGTTAAAAAGGAAGATTTTATCGATAAATTTAATGATTTAAAATATCTAGAGGCGTTACATTCTCTTAAAAATGTGTTAGACAGGATAAAAGTTTTTACCGAACAAGTGACTCAATTAAAGGGATTTGAAAAGGTTATTAACGCTCAGAATATAGAAAAGAATTTTAAGGACTTGATTGAAGAGTATGAATCCTGTTTGAATAGTTTAAAGTTCACTATGATCGTTGGTTTTGATGAGCAAAGAAGAATTGACAATGAAAGTTTAAAAAACGATTTGGCAGAAACCCGAAAGGTATTATATAATAATTTATCTTTATTTGTATTACATAAAATTTTAATCATTATTATTATTATTTGAAATATAGTTTCTGGAAGATTTTGCCAGTTACAATAAAGAGCAAACGAATCTTGTTTATCAAGAAATCAAAAATATCAAAACGAGAATCAATTCTGACGACTTAATAGATATAAGATCAATTGAACCAACTTTATTAAACGATCCACCATACGGTGATGATCGTCGTGGAAAAACAAAACATATCTTTAAAATGATTTATAGAGACGCCATTGATGTGGCTTGTAAACCAATCAAACTAAAAATTAAGAATGACATAAAGGAATTACATGCTAAATTGGCAATCCAAAGAAAATTATTTGATTGTCCAAATATTCTAAAATTTTATGGTCTTGCTGTGCAACAATTAAAAGATGTTATGGTTTTTGAATGGGCTGAAAAAGGAAGTCTAAAAGAATTATATGAAAGCGATGAACAAATTACGTGGACACTAAAAGCCCAAATAGCTTTTGGTATTTGTAAAGGAATAACATTTGTAAATTCGGTTGGAATTTTTCATCATGATATTCGATGCCAAAATGTGATGGTAAGTCATTTTAAGTTTATTAAAAAAATTTTTTATTCTACTATAATCCCTTAATTAATTTGTTTAATTTTACAAAAGATGACTGCCCATTATGAACCAAAACTTACAAATTTTGAATTTTCAAGAGAATCAAAATCGTATCATTCTTCAAATATTAGCGGCGATATTTTAGATTTAATTAATTGGTTAGCACCTGAAAAAATGCCTGAACAATTAGATACTGAAAAAAAAGTAGCATATACATCGAAGTGTGAAATTTTTAGGTAATTCTATAGTTTAAACTTTCAAAATTTTGATTTTTTTTAATAATGTTATCTAACGTAATATGAGTATAGTTTTGGAATGCTCATGTGGGAACTGGCTTATCAAAAAGTTCCTTATGAAAATATGGATCTAAATGAAATCATAAAACACGTTACAAACGGTCAGAGAGAAAGTTTGGAAGTTTTTGATGAGTCTGATCTTGATCCAAATGACAGCATTAATAAAGTTATTCAAAATGAATTTAAAAATTTAATCCAAGAAGGTAATTAATATGATACTAAATTATTTATTATTGCTGATACTGAAATTGGCTGCTACTGAAACTTAGTTCTCTCCGAAAATTTTTAAGTTATTTTTCGGAGTGTTAGAAATTAGATTTTAGGCGTGTTTATATTTCCCAAATCAGCCAATTTCAATGTCACAGTAACATCGTTTAAAACCTTATATATTAACTACTATAAAAATTAATTATTCTTTAAAAGCATGGAAGCACGAATCAGGTGCAAGGATTAGAATCCCTGCATTATATTCAAGGCTTTCAGAGTTATCTTCAATTGTTAAAAAGTCTCCTTCATTGATACCTATTGATTCTCGCACCAATAATAGCTTATCAGTGCCTGAAGACTTTCGAGATAATGTAAATAGGATTTTAACAGTCGAGGAAGGAATCAAGCTTCACAGAACTAGGATTCCAGAGAATAAGGAAAAAGCGTGGAAATGTTTCGTAGATAATGCAAAACTTAAGAGTCCTCTTGCCATTTATTGGAAAGGTTATTATTTATGGGAGGGTTCCTACCCAAATGGTGCAAAAAGGTCAGAAGAACAAAAGGAAATAGATAAATCTGAAGCTCGTGAATTGTTTAAAAAGGCCGCTGAAGAAGGTGTGACAGATGCTCAATTTTGGTATGCGTTTTCATTACCGAGAACTGAAGAAAATAGAGCCGAATTTTTACATCATTTGAGTGAAGCGGCTGAGAATGGAAATGCTGCTGCGTTATATAGTTTGGGTGATGTCTATTTATATGGAAAGGCGCATGTTGAGATGGATAAAACAAAAGGATTAAGGTACTTAAAGTTGGCAGCTCATAGAGGTCATCTTAAAGCTACAGAGACGCTTAAAAATTTGGATAAGAATATGCTTGATATTGATGTGAATTTTGATATCAACGAACCTTAACATTTATTTTATAATATTTGAACTTTTTTGTTTTATTTTGTTTTTGGTTCTTGACAATTAAACATAAAATTCATATTATTTGTCTAATAACTTGTATAAAAAATTTTTTATCTATCCGTACTTGCACGCTACAACTTCATGAAGTTTTTTTATTACAATTTTTCTCTTTAAGGAAAAAGAAAATGAATGTTCGATCCTCTACTAGTTTTAAGTGCATATAAGATGCTCAACACAAAGTCATTGAGATCTTTTTTTTTTGCGTGAATTTATAAAATTCTATATTTATGCAAACTAATTAAATTGTCCTGAATATGTATACGCCAAGTAACACTGGATGTATTTTATTATTTCAAGTTAATAGATATTTGTGACGGCTCATGCTAAGATCCGGATTTCTATTTAAATCTATAATATTCTTATTAATAATACTAGCCCTAAACACTAATTTAACTATAAAAAAAGTCATCTAAAATTTATAATTTAATAATATATAAAGGCACCTTCTATTAAACAAAGAGTGCTATAAAGTAGATATCGTTATTAAGTAAACCTTTTCAGTAGTCTTAAGTAAAGTTGTTCCTTATACTTTTCTAGTTCCAATTATAGTAAAATCATTAAAATTGAATTCGTAGTTCTTATTTAAAGTTAATTAACATTTATTAAATTTAAATATTAATAACTCAAGAATTTATAAACAAATTTTAATGTTTTTACATTATTAGAACCAGAAATTTTGAGAAACAACTTTGCTTAAGACTATTAAAAAATTTTACTTAATAAAAGCATAAATATTAATTCTTTATATGAGATAGATCAATTTTTTTATTGTTAAGGTTAATGCTTATAGCAGCTATTATATTTATTATGTTTTTAATTATGCATTATATATAATTTGTAAAAAAGTGTATAACTAATTATATATGCAAATTTTAATTGCTTATTAAATAGACTGTCCAAAAGTTCTATTTCTTTATTTTTTATTTTATTTTTATTTTTTATTTATATAATATCGGAGTAGAAACTTTATTAGTAAACAAAAGAGAATTTTTATATTAAAGATTTCAAACTACATTTGTGTTATTTAGTTAAGAATATTATTTTTTAAAAAATATTTAATATGATATTATACCTCCTATTTTCTAATAAATGTTATAATCAATTATCTTTAATTAATTTTTAGTTAAAATAGGTTAAATAAAATTTAAAAGGTTTTTCTTACAATTATATAAAGCAAAAAGTTAGTGAATAGTCTTTAAAAAGTTATTTGTTAATAATAAAAGAATTATTAACAGTTAGAATTGTAATTAAATTAGTGTTAAATAATCAAAGTATAATAAATATAAGAATTTAATTTGTTTGCTTTTGAGAATATTACAAACAATTTTTTATTGTGTTGTATATTATTTTACAATTATTAGATTTTATTGAAAAATTAGAATAAAAAATTGTTAAACAAATTAATAAAAAGTTTAGTTTGTTTGTTGGTAAGTGTTTTAATATTGTTAAATATTATAAGATTCTATATTATTATATACAATTTACTAAAAATTTATTTATTTATAACTTTTAGTTTTTATATTTAATTAGATAAATAAATTCTGTTTCTGTATATCTAAATGCTGTTTAATCTAATATTAAATATTATAAAATATATTATCTAATTGTAAGTTCTAAAAACCTTTTGTTGTCTAATTTATTTATTTTATAAACTATTAATAGCATTATGTCTTTGCAAAATTTACCTAATCTTAGTACTAAATTTATAGTATATCTTTAATATATTTCTGCTTTTTTTCAAATTTTCAATTTAGATAGCTTACAAGAATTATAACTTGTTTTTGACATATTAAATTTAGTCTAATATTCTTTTTCTTAATTTGAAATTTGATAACAAAGTTAGTAGATCTATTTGTTTTAATAAATTGTAATTTGTTAATTCTTTTGTATTCTTATTTTTTTTAAATCTAAACTTTATAGCTATATTATTAAAATTTTATACTATAAGATTTTGTTTTTTTAATTCTATAAATTTATAAGTTACAAAAACATATTTTATCTTTGCACTATCTAATATTGGTTGGCATTTTTTTATATAATTAAAGTTTTATAATAATTTTTAATATAAACTAATTTTAGTATAAGCTGTTAAAATATCTATTATTAACATATTAGTAATAATTTAATATCAATTTTTTTTAGTAAAATTTATAATTTTAAAAGAAATTTATTATAAGTTATTGAATTCTATTTTTTTTAAATTAAACTACACTTTGATACTTAGTTTTAAAATTTTTTTATATATTATAAAAAATTATTTAATAATATTAATAAACAAAAAGTTTAAAATTATATTAAATAAGAGTATTGTAACTAGAAATTGGAACTGTCTAAAATTTTATTTAATTATTTAACTGTTTAACTGTTTAACTGTTTAACTATTTAATTTGGTTGGTATTAGAATAATCCTGGCCTATAACTAATATAATTCTGCCCAGAACTATAAAGCAATTTTTAAACAGTTAAATAGTTCAATTTCTAATAGCAACTTAATAAAATAAATAAGTTGTCAACCTTAAAATAGTAGGTTAAGTGTTCAAATTCTATTGACAGTAAAAATTTAAATAATTATCTATATAATATTCATATTATAATAACTGTTTCTAATGATTAGGTTAAGATACCTATAGTAGTAATCACATCAGCATAATTAGTAGGTCATAAAGTGTCTGTATAGCAGGTTATACAGAAGAATGTAAACTAAGATTGAATAGTACAAATACTAGATAAGTTCTTGTAGCAGTATAAATTTGTTGAAATTAGAAAACAAGAAGTTCATTTAAAAAAGACTTTAGTAAAGAGGTAGCACAAATCTTTGACAGTACTACTATAAAAGCTAGATCTAGAAAGCAGATATTAATATAAATAAATTGAGTGAACAATAACTTTAAGTAAGAGGTACTATTAACTAAGCTGTCAGAAGTCTTAAACTAAAGAAAAAAAATCAGATATTATAACTCTGATATATCAAAGACAAGTTATAGTCCTTCTAGACTATCTAAATTAAGAGTTTAATGCCAAAAACAATAGTATATTATAAGTACTAGGAATATGCTATGAAGTAATAATAGGATTTGGATGAACTTTGCAAAGACAAGCCTTGTTAGCAAGAACTAAATATGGGTAGCTAGTTAGCAAAAGGGCTTCTTAGAGCCCACAGTCAGGTAATGTACTTTAAAATATATAATAGTTTAATAAACATACAGACAGAGAAGTTAGAGTTAGGTTAAATAACACTTAGATATACAGAAACTTGTGTAATTATCTGTTAGATATAGTATAAAGATCAAAGTGTTTAATTAAATAATCTCTTAGTATATTACAAATATAGCAGCTAGTATAAAACCTGTAGACAGACTACTTAAATAGATAGTCAAAAGCTGTATAATTAGCTAGTTAAATGCTTACCTTATACAAGTTATATAATTATAATTAAATTACAATAAAAGCAATAGTTGCTAATAACCAATAGCCTTAGCAAAAGCAAAAAAAATTATAATAAATATAAAAAACCAATTTTTTAAAAACCTGAATTGTTAATTATTTTATCTATTTAAAATTAAACAAACTATATTACTAAAATAGCAATATACTATATATATAACTATGCAAATTTAAAAAATATATAATTTTTAATCTAATATAATTTATAGCTTTGGAATTTAATTTAGATAAGCCTTGAACACTTTTGTTGGTTTAGGTCACAAATAAACTAGTTCAAGCTTTTACTTTTTTATAATATTTTTAAAAATAAATTTATGCTTTATATAAAAAATTTAATTGGCAATTCATAAGTTAATTAGTGATTTTAATTAGTAATACAATTAAATGATTACTATATAATTATTTCACAATTATCAAAATTTTCTAATATTAGATTAGTTCAAACTAATATGTGATTTTAATAAAAATTTGTAAAGTAATGCATAAAAACTAAATATATTGATTTTATTCAAAAAAAAAATTTCGAATTTTTAGTAAAAGACTTTATTATATTGGATATAGAGATTTTATAGATTATTTATATAGTAAGATTTCAGACATTATATTATTATTATTTTTTTTTGTCATTTTACTACATTCTCACAATTATTATTATGAATAACTCTTTTATCTTTTTTATTATTTTTTGCTTCTTAAAAATTACTTTTGAAATTTTTAATAATATCATTTTCTTCAATTGCAATCTTTGCTATATGTTGCTTCAGACTTGCTGCATATCATGCAAACCAATTTGTGACTTTAGCTACATTAAAAATGTTTTCAACTTGAAATTCACCTTCTCTAGCAAGAATTTGAAGTTGTTTTATTATATTCTTTGCAGTCATTTGGTCTGTTTTATTTATATTATCTGCCAAAAAATAACTTTTAAGATAAGATTTTACTGTATTTGTCATCTGTTTTCCTGTTTTTTTTTCTATATTTCTGATTACTCTTCAATGTCCAACCTTTATTTAATTTAAATGCTTCTTCTACATCTATATAACAATATTAGAAAATCAAAAATAGATTTGATTATAATTTTCTATTATACTATACTATATATACCTAACAATAAATAAGTTAAATTATTATATTGTTCTTGTTTATTCATATCTAAATATTTGTATAATATGTAATCAATAGAATAATAAAAATAAAAAATAATTTAATTTTATCTTGACCTCAAGATAATAAAAAACTTTACAAATTTTTTGGAATTAAATGAGCAGTAATATTAGATATTGGTTTGTTAATAAGTATTATTATTAGTTTTGATATTTCAAAAGATAAGAACTGTAACTATAATCCAATATGTAGTAAATTTTGAGCTCATATATAGCTGGTATAATTACTATTAATTAGCCATTCAAAGTAAAACAATTGAGTAATAACAGAAATTGTTTTAATATTATAATTATTGTATATAGATTCTATATTTGCAACTGAAGTTCTTCTTAAATCAGATATTGTAACTTGTATTTTTTCATCTTCATTTAAATTATGTCCAATATGAATATATCTTTTTATAGTATGCATAATCTAATAAATCAAATTATTTAGTAAAATACAATACATATATATATGTATATAGTTCTTTCTTACTAAGTACACCCTCTATAAGTGCATATCCTCTTCAAATGTATACTCAAATTATAGCCTAAATATATACTTGATCTTTATTAATGCATTTTCTCTTATTATTCTCTAAATGCATATTATTAAAATATGGTTATTAGAGTGTACATCTAGAAAGGTTTGACTGTATATATAATTTTAGAACTTACTTGTGCATAGTGAGATTTAACAATTGTTTTGGCCTCTCTGGGTTCAAGAAAATACCAACATTGAACCTTAATATTATACTACTAGTACTAGTTGAAAACTGTAATAATCAATTCAGAGTTATGGTAGTATGCACCATTATCTGATAATATTTTAATCCATTGTGGTCTGAGGTTAAAAGTTTTAAAAACAAAATCAAATAATAAAAGAGTAAACCATGCATCTTGTTTAGTGTCAGTGCTCCAGTGATCAAATGCTTGACATTATGTTAATCAGTATCATATTTTGTAAATACTAAAATTGTATGTAAACTCCATTTCCACTTTTTAAAGAATTGATTTTTTGTCTTCTGTGCACTCTTAGGTAAAATATGCATCTTATAATCATATATTAAAATTGCTCTATCATTGTCCAACTTTGCAAGTCTAGCTTTAAATTAACTATTTAAATAGATATTTCTCACCTGATATGCTAAAAGTAATATGATTTGTCTTGACATTCTTCAATAATTGAATGATATTCCCTAGATTTATTATAAGATATTGAACAAATATAAACAGCTAATCACATATAGTACATTGATTAGTATATTGTTTATAGCATTTGCCAAAGGCATAAAGTAAACAGTGATTAATTGTGTCAACATGCATTATTGTACCATTTTGATTTACAATAATTTTTGCTTCAAATCCTCTTTTTAAGTAAATATGTAGTTTTTCTAATTCTGCAATTAATTTATTCTGTATAATGTAGATATTATAAATAAAATTTTTACTTTTAAAAAATATATAATACATATATAAAATATGGTTACCTTTTTTTCTTAACTTGTAATGTTTAATCAAATTAAACTAATCAATGTATTAAAACCTTATAAAAATATTCATTACAAATACAGCTAAATATTTTAGATCATTTCGATAAACATATTATCTATTCACCAATTGTGCTATAAATGAAGTTTATTTGATTTCATTTGAATAAGTTGCTTTATACTTTTTTCAAAATGCTTCTTTATTGTCTTTTAGATAAAGAATTAGAAGATTAGTTTTTGAATAAACTTTATAAAAGTTTATAGAAACATTGTCTTTGACATCAGATGTTTGATTTTGAGTTACTATTGGTTTGCTTAGAGCAATGCAATCAGGTCTATTAATTTGAAAGTATTCTTTTGTAGCATACATTAAGTTATTTGAAATCTAAAAAATTTAGTCTATTATTAGCAAGAATGGTTAATACTAAAGATTGTTAGAACTTTTTTTGAACTTACCTTTACTTTTTCTTATATTTCATGTTGTTCAAAATCATTAGTAATTATTGATAATATTCTTTGTTTACCATTTATACTACACTTGTTTATTTTGATAAAAGTGTTAAAACAGCTCCAAAACTGATTGACTTTATTTTAAAGATCCTGATTTATTATTGATAATTCTGTTTCTAATGGATTATATAGAATACTATTTAAAAGATTTTTGGTGTATAAGTAAAATATTGATGCACAATCTCTTGACAGATCTTCTGGACATATTCAAAACTCAAGCTGTTACATAAGATAGATTGTTAATTTATATTTAATGATGATATAAATGATTCAGTAATTAATAACTCACATTTGATTCCTTCCTTTTATATAGTGTTATGTTAATACATTCAATATATTGCATTATTGATCTTCATGCTCCTAAAATCATGTTGGTAAATTTAAAATCTGCTGGATATATAGAAGCAAAATGGAAGGAAAATTGATAATAGTAGTTGATTGTTGCCTCCATCTAATGAAAAACTGGTACTAGTCTAAATTAACAACTGATATTTTCCTTTTTAAATACTTTTCAAAAGCATATGTTATTATTTCAATATTATTCCAATTACATGCTTTACAATATAGTGCAGTTATATAAGTTTAAATAGCTTATATAACAAGTTGATTGCATAGTCTAAATAAATCTTTGCCATTATAATTTTTCAAAATATCTAATTTTGTCCAAACATTATCTAGAAATTTTCTAATATAAGTTTAAATTTTGTTTTTTTAATGATATATATCTATCCTACACTTAGTGTTCATTATTAATAGGCATATTAAAGTATATTGTTCATAATATTTATGAAAAAAAGATAAATAATAATCGGGGCTTGCAAAATTCTATTTTACTTGATCTGAATTTTCTAGCACTATTACAAAAATCAGGATACTATAAACAATAATTTGAAGTAAAAAAAATAAACTTCTGCCTGTAATTGTTCTGCTATTATTTCATTATCAAAATCTAAAACATCTAGATCAGAAAACCACATTTTTGCCTTAAAAAATTTATTATAAGTCATATTTATTGCTGCACTAGATGTTAAGTAAATTATAGCTTCTGAGTCTAACTTGTATATATAACCAGGTTTCTAATTATTGTCAACTATTCAAATTATAAATTCTTCTTAGTTAAGCTTAAATTTAATTCTTATATTAATATGAATTAGAATACTTTTTTATTTTGAGCTGTTTTGTTTTTGGAAAAACTTATTAATTTATAGCAAAAGGTCTATAATGTAGTTTTTGAACCATAATACTGGGAGCCAAAAGTTGTCTTTTATAATTTTGAGTTGACATAAGGTTAGATATAAAGATTCAGGTAGCAATATATTTTTACTAATATTAATTAACATGATAATTTTATATTAGATTTTAATTATATGATCTGATTTATTTATAGATTAGCAATTAAATAAATATTCAATAAAGATAAAGGTATAGTCTTATTATTAATATTAAAAAAAAACTTTGTAATTTAATTTTTTATTACTTTAAATAATCTTCTGATATTATATTTTTAAATTTTTTTATATTTATTTTTGTAATATTTATATAATTTTTTTAAAAAATATTTATAATCTAATAAACCAAACTAAACAAAACTTTATTTAATTAATAACATGGTTACTAATTTAAAATTTATACTTTACTTTTTTTATTATTATTTTAAAACTTATTTTAAATCTATAATAATAAATAACAAAATTATTAATCTTTATCTTAAAAAAGATTAAACAAAATCTTCTCTTAAATAAATAATTTATAAATTTTAATCAGAATTATTATCTATTATAATATTATTCAAATATTTAAATCAATATTATTAATCAAAATAATATATTTATAAATTATATTTTAATTAAACAAACTAATATATTATTAAAAAACTTAATATTTTTATTTTTATAATATTAAAAACTAATTTTATTTTTAATTTTCAAATACTAAAAATTAATACTAATTTTTTTCTAACTATATTTTATTTTTTTAATTTTATTTTATATATATATTTATTTAATTTACCATATATTTGCTACTTATTTTATTATTTTATTTTATTTTTTTCTTATTATAATAATGTTATTAAATTTTAATAATATAAATAGTCAATAAAATTTATAAATAGCTTACTTATATATATTAGAATAATAAGCATTATTTTTTTAAAAAATTTAAAGAAACATATCTATGATCTTGTAATTTTTTATTATTAAAACTTACAATTTACAAATATATAAAAGAATATTATATTTTGCTATATATACAACTTTATTTATTGTTTATTTAAAGATTCTGCTTAACAGTTATCTATTAATTACTATATCTAAAATCTACTTACAAGTTCTTTATTTAAAATCTTTAATTTTTAATATTTTGTCTATAATACTAACATAAGTTTTTTAATTAAATAAATTTTAGAACTACTTTATTTCAATACAAACTTTACTAAATAAAAGTAAAAGGGATGGGGTCCCGTAGCCTAGTGGTCTAGGCGCCCCTCCCTCCACAGACAAGGTCGACGGTTCAATTCCAGCTGG